CCCCAAAACCCCAAAACCCCAAAACCCCAAAACCCCAAAACCCCATGATGAAACCAGAGAGCTGATATTATATAATTACTTATCATGATGATCATACAAGCACACAGAGAAGGATTGCAGATCATTATTTGGCAAAATCTTGTCATATCCAGGGATATTTATCCACCTATTTACTTGTATGTCGTATTTTTCACAAGCGCCTTTGTTTGAGCTTCCAATTGCATAAATCTGATCTTCGTAATGGAAGAGAGAAGAATTTAAAGTTCTTTTATTCTTCATTCCACCAGCTTTCTGCCAGATCATTCTTCCAAGCTTGAATTTATAGCAGCTGCTTATTAATGAAAGTGGGGTTTCGTTGTTTGAGTCTTCATAAATGCCTCCAACTACAAGGATAGTGTCACTATCAATTGTAGCGGCCCCCATTTTAGCAAGTTTGACAGGCAATTTTATGCTCAGTAAATCCCAACTATCTACTAAGAAATTATATTTTTGGATTATATCTACAGTTGTATAGTCCTCAAACCCTCCAAAAAGATAAAGGTAGGTGTCTTCAACAGTAGCAATAGAGGCAAACGAAACCGGATGGATCAGATCAGCAACATTTGACCATTTCCCTCTAGTAGGGTTATATTTCTCACATGAAGCTAATGTTGAAGGCGAAGTTGTTTCAGTATCTTGATGGTCAAATCCACCAATTACAAAGAGATACCCTTTTAATCAAGCAGAGCAGTGACCGTATCTTCTATTGCTCATTGAAGATATTTTCTTAAAGGTTTCCACCTTACTAACGTTTGCTTTAAAGACTGATTCTGAGGCCTCTCCAGTATAATTATCTCATCCTCCAGTGATGATGATCTCGTCTGACAAGCCTAGTCTAATAATAGAGGGGTACTTAAGTCCTCCTTTGTATGCAGATTCCTCAGAAAATTCAATTTTCGACCATTTCTTACTGTCGGTATGATAGAATATCATAAAAGGAAGGTCACCAATACAGTAAAAACCTGTCGCTTTTCCTTGCTGGATGTAAGAGGCCCCTTCAGAGCTTTTCTTTGAGACCTGATTAAGAGGGACTTCATTACTTCTTTGCTTCCTCTCCTCTCTGGTGTTATTGCCAACATGGCTCTGCATAAAATTTTGAGGGGAGTTATTATAATTTGGCTGGAAGTTCATTCCAGGCTCTCGCTCAGATCCAGCTCCTTTCTCAGTATCCACTGTCTTCTTTCCTGTATTCATGGCTTTCTGATGGTAATTATGAATATTGTTTGCACTTATGGTTGGTTTACTTCTAGATTATGATTATTATCTTACTTTGCTTCATGACTATTCCTATATTTACCATGAATAGGTAACTGAGAGCCAGAAGCTCCTTTATTCATAGCAGCCATTTGAGACTGCTTCCCTGTTCCTCTATTCAAGGACTGGTTTTCCAGTGTCATATTTAATATGTATGAAATAGCTGAGGTAGAATCAATAGTCTTTGGGGTAAACTCTTCTCCTAATTGAGGCATTTTATAAGAAGAGCTATCCATACTTTCTAACTTATTAGTATTCTCAGAAATTCTTTGTGCTTCTCTCACCTCATTGCCAAACTTTTGGTTGAATGCATTGAGCATCCTAATTTTTTTCAGTGTTTCACCCTTGCTTCGATCATCTTTCATAGCTTGTATTTCTTCCATTTTGGCTCTGTAAAGATCAGTTGCCTTATCTCTAGAGCTATTTGTTCTAGAAAACCTGGCATAATTCTCAACTTCAGCATCATATTTCTCAATATTTTCTTGAATTAAATCATTCTTGCGTTGTACAAGAGCTTCTACTATTTTATCAAAACCTTGTCTGATGAACTTGATCTGAGTGTTCTTATTTAGTTCGAGCTTATTCTGGATTTCCTTCACATTTCTATCGTTTCCTAAAACCAAAAGTCAGCATATTATATAAGGAAGAATAAGCTAAATCAGAAAAATTGAGTAATATTTTGCTTGAACACCTACTTGCACTTTTGCTTGCTTCCAAAGATCTAAGTTGGTCATAAGAAGTGAAAAGGTTGTTCATCTCATTACTCAATGACCTCACAGCGTCTTCTATCAGAATGAAATTGTGTCCATTATGATCTGAAAACATTCATTCTGGACAAATTAGTGCTTTTCAATCCTTTCAGTAATATTCAACTTCTTTCATTGAGTGAATCTCTCACAAATTATCCCTATGGAGAGGTTAGAGGAGGTCTGACAAATATATTTGACAAGGATTATAAATGAACCGTACTTATTTATTTGTGAAGTAGGCTGGTTTTGCCCTGAACTTCCATCTCTCTTTTTCAAAATTCCTATATCAAGAGGTTAAAATTTTCTGTTAAATTTTAGCCAAAATACAGAAAAATAGGTGGTAATTAAAATTATTTGGTTACTCATCATCTTTAGAAGAGGTTTGTTAACCGCTAAATTCTCTGGGTGCTCTTGTGGTTCGTCTCAAACATTACACATTCTAGCCCCTAAATAATTTGAGGAATATGTTACTCTTGATATAAGGTTGGCATGCTCTGCAGATGCTGTGGCCACAGCGCTCAAGCACGAGAGGGATCCTTTCGTCCTCATCAAACTGTGAACTACATCTGTCACAGAAAATATCGAAGTCCATTTTTATATTTTTATTATTTCAGATGACTCGGGGTTTTGGGGTTTTGGGGTTTTGGGGTTTTGGGG